CTTGGATAACCCCATGGCTGGTTATTACATTTAGTTATGCATACCAGTATTTTCAAACATCGACATTTGAAGATATGTCTTAAGATTATTGTAACCCTTTATTATCATCCAAATACCAAAAAAGAGTTTTTTTCCTGCATCTAATGATTCAGTAATGCATTCTTTCTGCTCATTTAAAACAATGAAAAATCCCCTGAAAATATTAAATATCAACATTAATATTTTTCATTGCAATGTATAGGCATGGGCAACTCGAAAGCTTTAATCGTCAATTTAACCCCTTTTTTTTTTTTTTTTTTTTTTTTGAGGTGAGATAGCAATCGGTTTGGTGCGTAATTACATCCCTGAACAAGATTTTTTCACAAAAATTGGCAGAGTTGTCCAGGAGAGTATAGACTACAATCCCGTGCTGTCATTTTGGTTTAAATGTTTTTGTTATCGACACCTAATTACATATTTTCATGAAACAAAGGCATTATTTTGCTTTATCAATGATAAAACCTAAACTAAGACTTTAAAGAAAAATCATGACAAGGTTTTGGAGCACTAAATGGTGTCATTAAATCAGCGTAGAAACGTTGATCTTGGGTGCTCCGGTAAAAGAGAAATTTGAGAAACCGATTTTTTAGTTTTTACCCCAAAATTGGAAGAAAATAATGCCACCCATATGAAGACATATACGTAAATGTTTTTATGTACAGACACAGATGTGTCTGTACATATAGCCATCATCTGCGTCTGTCGTTGCCGTCGTCGCCGTCGCCGTGCACTTTTACCGATAACACGATAAGTGGAAAACTGTTTTTTCTTTTGGCTTGAAACTTACAGAACTAATGAATATTCATAATACGCAGGTCAAGTTCGAAAATCAGCATGATCGGGTTACTTATAGGGAATTTATGCTGTTTTTATGTACAGACACAGATGTGTCTGTACATATAGCCATCATCTGCGTCTGTCGTNCCAACTTATTGTACTTATGAATATTCATTAAATGCTGGTTAAGTTTGAAAATCAGCATGATTGGGCCATTTTGTCAAAAGTTATGCTGTTTTTTCACTTTTTCTCAGCATATATGTAATACTGGTAACACAATTCAAGGAAAACCAATAGGCCTATTGTCTTGAAACTCACAGGAGTGATCAGTCATGCAAAAATACAGGTTGAGTTTGAAAATCAGCTTGATTGGACCATTATTTCAAAAGTAATGCTGTTTTTCTGCTTTTAAGCATATTTTATCCACTGTTATATGGGTAGCAAGTAAACTATCTCATGTTTTGCCTTAAAACTTGATTCATACTTGATTCATAGGACCTACGTACAGATCAAATTCGAAAATTATCTTGATCGGTTTAGTTCTGATGAAGTTATGCCTTTTTTTGTATATAAGTAGTTTTTCCTCAGGTTCAATTCTTAGGCATGTCAACAGTCTCACCATTGAACTAATTGTACCACCAGCGCAGCAAGGCACATGGTTTTAGTCCTGACCAGTCTGGTCTGCCATATCTGCTAGTCTCCTCAATATCTGCCGCCATTTCACCGTTACTACTGCTCCTGCTTAACTAAAAGGGCATGTGTCCCCATATCTTAGATTAGGTGACACACAATCTCAACTCAATCCACTGGGTTTTGGGCTTTGTATGTGCACTAGTCTACCCTCTACCAGGGCCACAGCTATTATTGTGGACATTTTTTGCAGAATCGACCCTGTTATGTTTGACCATGAGGAAACAATTAACTCTGCCCGCGCTCAGAAGGCTTTGTACTCGCTCTGCAGGAGCTTCACGTCGCGTCGATGTGATAACTGCTCGTTTCGCAACCTGTGTAAGGCTCTGCTGTCTGCTGAAACTAGTCACGTGGTTGGAAGGGGTTCCCAGTGCACAGGCCGTGTACTTCTTCTAAAATTATTTACTGCACCAGTATTTATACCTCTAGAAACTACTACAGGGGGTTCCTCGGTTAGCCTCACTCTGAAGCAACAAGCTATTCATAGGGGGCTATTTTTATCTGTCACCAAAGGGCAAGTGATGTAGGCCAGAGCAGTTACCTGTCTTGATTGCTGTCAAGTGGACTTAGACAGGAATAAATAATAGACTGGAATAAAGTAAATGGCAGTCCCTGAGCAGTTATGCAAACAATTACCAGCCATGTAATCAGCCTTGAGATTTCAGTACAGGGTGACATCAGACCAAAATGACTGTCTATTTATCTACTGTCTGTGAATATCTGTGGAAAATCAATCTTTCGCCCTAGTAGAGGGTAGCACTATATAGTCACTGCACCCTTGTCCAAAATTTGCAAAATTAAATACTAAATATTTCCTGAATGAATTATGACAAAAATTGCTATAGATGTCTGACTTAAAGTCATACATGGGCATTTAAACTATGCCCTTGGATTTGACCTTTGACCTTTATTTCAAGGTCAAACGGGCCAAAATTTTTTATAAATGGGAATTTTTTACAAAAAATTATCTGTGTTGATTTTCAGAAACTTCACAGATTTAACCTATATTATTAAGGGCAGGGGTTACACTTAGGGTCTTCTTTCATCTTCGTTAGTTTGTGGTCAATCGGTGTATTACATGGGAAAAGCAGTCCTTAAATGGCAAGACTGAAAACTCTCTAATTCTGGAACTGTAAGTGCTAGAGACCTCTTGTTTGTTGCATTTTGTAGGGCTTGTCAAGCGCAATACTGGGGGTGGTATGTTTTTTTTTTTTTTTTTAATACAGTTTAAGACCCCATTCCCACAGATTTTAGATCGATCTATCCCTATGGGGAGTCTCACTAGATTACTGTCAGCTTAGCCAGCTTAAGCGTCTGTCCCGCCTACTAAAATCTGTAAGGGGGTATTAACTAACGTGCATGCACGGCTGACAGCAATTTAGCGTGAACCCCCAGGGAGTTAGGTCAATCTAGATGGATCAATCTAAATCTATTGGAATGCATTCTAATAGAGTTGTGCTATATCACAAATACAAAGATGCCATATTCAGTGGTGAAGTAAAATGTGAAATAGCTACTACAGAATTTGAATAGGCAGTTTTATTTTGGTAATCTAACAGTGACCTTGAATTTGACCGTTGATCTACTTTTCATGAACTGTTTTGCAAATTTCCAAGCTCTGATATTTCCAATTGAACTTGGATTGGAAGTCATGTATTCATAATATATTACTACAACCTTGGTTGAAACCTTTTACTTTTCCCTTCAGTTTTGTTATAAATTGTAATCTACAAATAAAATGAGATTTCTTGTGTGCTGCATTTTGCAATGGATGTGAAGCATAACACTGGAGATTGTGTCCCTTTTTTTGTTTACTATACGAATGCACATACTCCAGCTGGTGGTACAATATCCTGAGGTGGTTTCGCCCCTCTGATCCTCTAGTTAGATACATGAAAAAGTCATTTTGACATTTTCTGCATCTTAACAATATTGTTAGTTAATTTTATAAAAATGATGGTAAATAGTTATCTTGTATTGTGTAATAAAGAGTCGGAAATAAATTGATATTGTTGCAGTTTGGTAGATTTAATTCTTCACATTGTTCAGAATCTCAGAATGGAGCAAATTGGACATTTAAATTTGTTATTTTGATATTTCTTACATCTCAACAATTTTATTAGTTGATCACATAAAATGTAAGTAAATGTGTTATTTTGTTTTATGTAAGAAAAGTCTTGAAAATCGAAATAAATTCATTCTGTACAGTTATCTTTCATCTACATTTTGAAGTTCCATGGGCCTGAAGACCTTTGCTAGTCAAATTTTCTAAATATCCATAATACCTGCAGTACATAATTAATGATTGGTGGTGATGATGCTGTTAAGCATTACAGGGGCTGATCCAGGTATTTTTTCCAACAGTCTTCCAAATTATCCATCCTCCTTTTTTGACAGTCTTCCGACAGAAAACATTACATACTCGTCAATGTAAGCTTGAAATTTTAGTCTCCTGGAAGACCTGGAAGACGGCCTCAATACGCCCCTGCATTACATATAATGTAATTTTGCTTCAAAATTAAAGTAATTTAAAAACCTATATTGGGTACTGCCTCAGTCCAAAGTGACCATTTAGGGAAAAAATGTCACTTACTATTCTTACAGAAAAGAAACAGAGGACTAAAATGCAGATTAAGTTGGAAAACCAGTTTTTTTTTTTTTTTTTGTGTGAAATTTAACTTTTTTACATATTGGCATTTTATAGGTCTTTGAACCATGGGCTTGAAGACCTTTACTAGTCACAATTTCTGAATATCCATAATACATGAATTTCATTTTTAAAAATCTATGGTTGTTATGCTAGCTGTTAAGCATTATGTAATATTGCATTCAAATTTTTTTAAGTATTTTGGAATGGCCACCATAATGACCATTAAAGGAAAACCATGTTAATTATTATTCTCAAACTTACTGAAAAGATTCATAGGACTGAAATGCAGATTTTGTTAGAAAACCAGTCTGATTGCATTCTCTTGTGGAAGCAGTGCAGTTCTTTATGAAATTTTCATTTTTCACATATTTGCATTTTCAGTGTGGGAGTTAGAACTCCATTATGAAAAAAAAACATTATGGTAACTAAATTATTTTTAACTTACAAGATTGATTCTTAGGATTGACATACAGCTCAAATTGGAAAACCAGCTTGATTGGATTATCATTTTTTCTTGAATTTATGCAATATTTTGTGAAATTTTCATTTTTGTCATGCTGGCATTTTCAATGTGTGAACTTGAACTCTCATGGACCTGAAGTCCTATGCCATTTACACATTTTACTTACATCCTTATTATCTGTTGTGCATAATTAAAATTTGGTGTTGACTTTGCTGTTAAGCGTCATTTATTATTGCATTAGAATTGACAGTAATTAACCTATTTTATGCATCTTTAATTTTTGTATTTTGTCTGTACATTTGACAGCTTTGCTGCCTTGTGTGTGCATGTTGTCAAGCTTGATTTCAAGTTTTTACAGGTACTTTTTTCATCAAATTGCAGGTTTAAGATTTCCATGGCAGACAAATCTGAAAAAGCAGAATTCAATGTTGCATTGATTTTGAAGTCAGCAAAAGAGATCAAGGTTGCATTGAAACCAAGATAAACATCATTAGAAACATGAGGCCAGAAAACCATGGTTACAAATGAGACTTTCTGTCCTTAATTGTTACATGTACCACCAGCCACAATTTCAATTGGTTCTCTGAGCCCAAGATGTTACAAGAGACTAGAGATGGTTACTGAGTCTTCAGTTAAAAAACACTTGATCTACATACTATAGAATTGATGTGGTAAAAAGGATTACCCACTCAATAAACTATAAAAATGCAAATCAAAAGGGAGAAAAATTGCATTTTAATGTAAATGCTGAATAGAAATAATAATCCATTAAAGACAGAGATTTTTATACATTATATCCTGAAAATTTATATCAAGAAGTATTCCAAACTACCAATACCAAATCATTTTAATGTTGTGTTGATGAGTTGTGTAGAGAATGTATAAAAAAATACTATAGTGACCATAAAATCAATCACCTTTTATCAACCGAGAGTGAACAGCTTTATTAGATAGCTACAAAGTTCCCTGCAGCTATTTAAAGTGCCAAAACTGAGAACAATGAGAGCTTCAAGGACTTTTATTCTCTGGGCATTGTCAGCTTTTTAATTTTTCTTAAATTCTTAAACTTAAAAGTAGTACCGTAATTTTATGATTTGTCAAATACATTTAAAATTTCAATTCTGCATATATTATATACAACGTACAATACAGATAACAAATTTCAAGGGATGCCAATCAACCTATTGTCTTCAATTTTGCAGGAATGATCAGTATTATTAAAACGCAGCTCTTGTTCAAAAATCAGCTTGATTGGACCATTTTTTTCTTGAAGATTAGCCATTTTTTGGTTGTTTTATACCATATACAATACAGGTTACCCATTTCATGGAAAACCATTTGACCCATTGTTTTCAAACCTACAGAACTTAAGAATGTGACTGAGATACAGGTTGAGTTTGAAAACCAGCTTTACCGGATTTATTTTTCATATGTTATGCTGTTTCATGATTTTTCTGAATATTTGTTACAAGTATATGTGACACAGAAACCACATTTCGTGGATAACTGTTTGACCTCTTGTCTTCAAACTAACAGGACTGAAATGAATTATTAATAATAATTTACTAAAAATGGGTCAGGTTTCAAAATCAGACTTAAACTTTTTTGTTTTTGTTTCTAAATAAAGCATATATTGTACTGTATTCAATGCAGATAACGTATGAAGCAGAGAATCAGTTGGCTTTTTGTCTTCAATTATATAGGGAGATTAATATCATGAAAATATCATTTTAATTAAAAATTTGCCTGTTGGGAATATTTGTCTTAAAGTTTTTTTTCTTGTAGAATTCTTCTTTTCCTACATATATAAATGTAGTTTGTGACGTATGGACATGGGTTGATCAGTACATTTTGGTAGTTACATAGCTATTAAATCATCTCACTCTCAAGTGGCCATTAGATGAGATTACATAAAACACACATTGGGAGTGATTTTGAACTCCTATAGGTTTAGCCTTGTGCCACATACAGTTTCATTTACAGTATTACATAGTTAAGAATTTGCTGCATATTACAAAAATTTTGCTGCTTAGTTTTCATTTTGCTAAGGGTTGTCAACTGAAAACAATTTTGCAGTTACTGTTTCAATTATGCATGTAAATATTTTATAATATTGCATATAAATTAAATAATCTGTGTATTGTCAACATTAATGGCATAGATGAATAACATAATTATCCTCAAGTTTACTGTGGTGATTCTTAGTATGTAAATACAGCTAAATGAAATATTTGGGTAGCAGCTTTATTGGAAAATATATATATTTTATATATATATGTACTTTTTAATTTTTTACTTTTTTGAAACATTAACATTTTCAAGATGTGACTTTTCGCTCCCATCTACCTTAATCCCTTTACGAGTACTGGTAATCTAATGAATTCTATATTTCCATGTAAGCAATAGTACTGGTATTTATGTTGTTAGGCATTATGTTACAGTATTATAATAATTATTTTGTGCACTGTCATCATTATTCACACATTGGGATTTTCAGTATGTGAATTTGAACTCTCAAGCTGAAGCTATATCCTTATCGTCCATGGATAGCTGTTGTGCATGATTAAAATTTGGTGTTGATTGACTATGCTTTTATAAGCAATATTTATTGTTGCATCAAAATTGACAAAATGACCTATTTTGTGCATCTTTATTTTCTGCTTTTTGTCTGTATAGCTATGCTGCCTTGTTAGTATTATTAAGGTCTCATTCAACTTTTGTTTGCAAATAAATATGATTATTATGTTTAAAAAAGTGTGTTGCTGTTGGGAACACTTACTTAAAATTGGGTGGCAAAGGATCTGGGGATCCTGTTTTTCTTTTCAAGAGACCCAAGCTTGAGGTATTTAAAATACAATTACAAAGACGGAAAGTTACATGTACATTACATGATCATCTAATCATCTGTGTAATAATACCCATGCATCTTTCAACTCGCCCTAAAACCAGTTGATCTAAGTTGTTTGATTTCAAAAAAAAAAAAAAAAAAACTACACAAATTTCTAAATAGGGTACTTTGAATATTTGACCCCTGATCTGTATATATCTCTTGTATACAACCAAAAGTAACTATGAATTTTTTCAGAAAATGCTTTTGCTAAAATTAACTAATTCAGCTGTCTCATTTGCAAAGCCACACATTCCATCCACTTAATAAGCTGGTCTATCATAATTATAACCAAAATATAAGAATTCCCAAATTCACTTTGTGTAAACGGTCCAAGTACATGTATATTCAACTGAACCTTTTCCATAGGAAATTCTGAATGATGTAATTTCATTTGGCTTTTGGTCAAACAGTGCTTTGCTTGTTTTTATTGCAAAGTTCACATGAACTTACATACAATTTACAATCGCTATTCATTCCATGCCACATGAATGATTGTTTGAGTTCTTGCAAAGTTTTCTCATAAGCAAAATGACCAGCTGTTTTTGAATCATGACAGAAAAAATAAAACTTCATTGACCAAATCTTTTGGTACTATTAAGCACAAATGCCTATCTTCTTTCTTTTCCCATTTGTAATATAGCACATCATTCAATAGAATCAATTGCTCTTTGCAGTTCCATAATTCTTTCACAGCCACAATACATAACACAAATACAACTCTGACTCTTTAGGTTTAACCAACCTTCTCTAACCATTTCTGCCAATCTGCCACACCAATCAACACTAAAAATAAAATATCACTACCATCTAGTTCACATCTTGCAATAAGTCCTATCTAACATGTGTCACTATCTTTCCAACTCTCACTCAGTCATACATAAAGCCTTTCCAGAAATTCCAATATCGCTAATAACTAGTAATTCTACAAATTCTAACCTCTAAATTAACAACATTATATACATGTAGCTACACAAAATTTGAAATCGAATCCAGGCAATTGCACCAATTGTTATGCCTTTGTGGCAGAGTGCTTTATGAATCCCAGCAGCCAAACAACATTGATTCTATGTTGATTCAATGTTGATCCACCAAAATTAACGTTGATTCAACAGTGGATCAATGTCGTTTGCTTGCTGGAAATGTACAAAGAATACAATACTGCCTGGTATATGTCAAACTGAGGCTGATCATAGCCGTTCAGAGGCATAAGAGACCGACTTATTTTAAGTCACACCTTACGTACATGCTCAGCTACTACACATTTACCAATCAACCAATTATACAATCAACAGTTTTACTTTTAAGTTACCAATCACAAGAGAGATTCAAACTTGCACGCCGGACTGTACTTTACTTATAGAGTACATCTAGATTGAGGTAGCAATACAAAACAATCTCAACAAACACAATACATTGTCAGACCTGGCACTTCATGAACTTGCCATGTATGTTATCAAGCTCTTACTTTGTATGCATGGATAAGATTAATAAACCTGTTGAATCTGACATGTATACTGTTTGAACTTGATACATGTACATTAGGGGTTCTCATCAATATCTTCTCAGTTGTATTGTATGTTTCATCTTGTTGCCTGGCAACTTTAAGGGACCTACCTGGTGTCTGCCCTGTTAAATACAGTGTGGGGGACCTGGTTAAGGATACCCAAGTCATACCTTGGTAGTTTCGGGACCATACGGCCTCCCACACCGTGCCAGTTTACAACGTTGGGAAATCCAAAATCTTTTCCCGTATGCCCATCCCGGCATTGGTCAAGATATGAACCAAGCCTATGAACAAAATAGTGACCAATGATGAGAACTGCCATGGCCAACTGTGTTCAAGACTTACAGGTAACTTAAATGTGATGAAAATAAAATCTTACTTGTAAGAATGAATGATCTGCTTCACATACGAGTCTCCTAAAGCTTGGCTGGATACGCGAGTCCCACAGACAAAGTCGTAACAAAAGAAAAGCAGGCAGACACAAATCGTATGGAAAACATTGTCAGGGAGGTGCAAATTAGTAACTTGTAATGATGAAAAGTCCCCTAAAGCTTGGTTGGATCTGAGAGTCACACAAACGAAATCGAAACAAAAGAGGAGTAAGCAGTCACAAATGGAACAAAAATTTGTCAGTGAGTCTCAATTGGTATCATTAATCCTGAACGGTATGCTTGCAGCAAAGAGCTTATAGCAAAATGAGACCGAATATAAACATTAACTGTATAAGTGCGACAGCGTGTACCTAAAAGAAAGCGCAAGATTCAGTGCTGCAAATTAATTATGACAAAAGTGAAGTTTCAAAGCTGCCGGACAGAGAATTTTCAAGGAGCTTAAAGCAGTGAACTCCAGATGCCAATTCCTGTTCACGCTCATAATAACCCAGTAACACCAGGTGCCATCTCTCTAGCTAATGAAATTAATTAAAATCAGCTTGGGATTTGACTGTCCCTGATTTTGCCTGTTTACTGTTCTGTTTAGTATACCTAAAAAGCAAATGTTTGAAGGACTTCAATGCATTATCGTAATACTGATTTGGTAAGTAATAGTGAAAAGCAAGTTTAAAACAATTTTTACCATATCAGGTAGCTCTTTTGGGTGTACAGAGAATTACACTAGTACTACTTGAAAGGAATGTTAATTTTTTCTTCATTTACCTTATTTCACCTGATTGTAAGTCAACTGCAGCTGGTCTGCCTTTATAGCTCTGATAGTCAATAGCTGCCAGATAATTACAAGTCTTATATCCTTACATTGAACCTTTGGAAATATGAAGTACATTAAAATATGAGAGTTGATACATTGTTTCTTAAGCATCTAAAAGAGAAAAATAAGTTTGTGAAGTTATCCATTGTTTTCCCCCTTTTTGTGTGGAAACCTTCCCCATTTAGTACAGTCTTGTTGCATCTTCTATGATCTTCCTACCTTTATTTGGGGGATAATACTTATTCCTGACATAATGTACTTCTGGAATCTTTTATTGATGATGATTTGTCCCAATGCTATCAAGGTTTGTGAACCAGGCTTTATTTTTCCTTTCTGCTTCAGGAGATAGGGTCCATGTTCCTGTAGCCATGCCCAGACATTACATGTACACTGTTCATTCTCAACATGATGCATTGCATCCCTCCACTTTAACTGTATAAAATGGCTGTGTAGTTATCAAACACTTACTCTGATTCTGATCTTGACTCCGTGTCCCTCAGCTTAATTGGGAGCAGTGGCTTTGAACTTGCTGTAGGAGTACTGATACTGGTAGATGTCTGGCAGTAGGGGACCATGTTCACATCGAGCCTACCCGTACCCATCTCTGGACATCCACTGGTGTTTATTCTAAACGTGGTGCATGCCCCCCCCCCCCTACACTTTGACGGAATAAAAAATCGGAATCTATTGAGCACACCAGAAATGTGAAACAAAAAATATCAATGAAAACATTGCCGCAACATTATCCATTCAAAAGATTCTGCAGTCTCAACATTGGTTCATCAGTGATGCACTTTTCTGTACCAGACTCAAGAGCTTTCCATGAATTTTCTTGCAGGTCATTGCACATTCCGAGAAATGGTTACGCAAAACCTTGCTACATGGAACAACATCTATGTCCTTTTTCTTTTTTTGCCTATATTTTTAAATGTGGGGTTTGGGTTAAACATAATCCCAGGATGCAGCATTCAAAAAGTATTCTATATGTTTATCTTTTGAAATATTAATATAAAACAATGTTTTTAATTTTCATTCATCAGAAAAGCTTAAGAGTAAAAAATATTTACTTCATTTGCACAGACACTGGTATCTGGTTGATGAGGTAAAAATTATTTTAAAAAATTTTCAAACTCTTTCACCATCTATCTTAGCTAGATGTCACCGCATCTTTTTCTTAGATTTTTTTTTTTTTTTTTTTTTTTTTTGCATGTATTTAGGTGACTTACTAACCATAAATACCAAACAATGATTTTGGTTAACATCAAATTTACAGAGTGGCTTTTTTAGTAAAAATGCTGCCATAATTGCCATAATTCAAAATTATCAGGATTTGAATTTTTTTTTCAAATACAAATGTATAGTTTTATAAATATTGAAAGAAGCTATTTTATAACTAGTGGTAAAAATGGTGACTTTGTTAACCCATAGTGCAGGACCCATACTTATATATTCATATTTATATATTATGCATATGTATATATTCAGTACTGTCACATAAATAAATCGCCTAAACTCTCTTGTTGCAACATTTTTATGTTTTGTGTCTGTATATTTTGCCAGCTTTGCTGTCTAGTCTTCTGGACTTATGTGCTCATCTTATGGTTTGCTGAAAGATAATTAAGTATAAGAGATGTCTGCAGCAATTTTGTATAAGTAATATGCAGAAAATCATTTTATAATTATTTCTTTAAAAAAAAACTTGACTTTTTGCAGTAAGAATATAGAAGCTTTTATACTTGTAAGTACACTTTCATTTTAGTGTTTTTAAAAGATGAGTACTTGCTTTTTGTTCCTTACTTTGTTAATTTTATTTTATTATTATTATTTTTGTTGTTGTTGTTGTTGTTAATTTTTAAATACGAAATTGAATAAAAAACAAGGCATTTTCTTATCTTAAATATCCAAACTTATTTATTGAGTTAACTTAGTTCTAAACTAATACTGGATAAACAAAGTCGGAATGGTGTTAATACCTGTTATAAGTACCTAGTGATTTCCCACTTGGTAATTCTGGAACTGCATGCAATCAAATAATGTTTAGTTATAGATAAGGAGAGGTGAAACAGAGAAATTAAGGATGAAGAAAACATCAGACTCCTATAGCTGTTGTTATATTTTCTCTCTCATGCCTCAGTGACATCATAGAGTACCTGGGTAGGGTGTTACACCTGCATGAAAAACTGATGAAGGATACTTGATTAATAAATACATTCCAGTTTTTTTTACCACTTGAGAGTTATTTTCACACTTTCTGTCATATTTAAGATATTTCATTTACGCACATAACCCCATCCAGATAATATGATGCGTCTATCTTATTCATCAATGTGTCTGTAGTCTGTGGACAAAACTGAAGACACTGTACATAGACATGATATACAGTGATGAGGGAGAGAACATTTAAAAGTGGCTAACTACATGTAGACTCTCTTTGCAGTGAACTTCAGGCTTTTGTTTCTTTATGAAATATGTACAAAGTTCATATAAATTTATATGGGAATATTTTGAATGCAGGCATGTAATCAAAAAATTACCGTCCAGATGTTTATGAAAGTCTTCATTGAAGTTTTTGTCATTATTTGTCATACTTCTATTATTTTAGGCAATTTTATTATTTTATCAACAGTATTCATAACTTTCAATTTTAATGCACTTCTTGACAATGTATTTGATCTTTTTTTTTTCTTAGAATTATCATTTCAACATTATAAATATACCAACCTACTTTTAATTATAAATAAATATTTTTATGACTTGTTGTTGTTGTTGTTTTATATGACTGTGTAAGAATATTTAGGTCTAAGAGCTCAATCCCAATGAAACAATAATTGCCTAGGTAGATCAATCCAGGTGGACTCTCGCTGAATGCAATCACATTAAGAGATTGACATACCTCCCCCTGGGTTTGAGTAGAAAACAGAAAATGTGGTCATTATACAAGGAGTATGTTATAAACAGGAGACATGCCAAATGATTGCATTTGCTGAGAGTCACGGTGGAGTTGGATCAGATTACATACAGTAGACCAATAGTTACATTTGGAATGAACCCTAGGTTGAAGTACTAGTGGATACTCAGTATGTCAATGACAACACTAAGATGATTAAAAATTGAGTGCTTTTAGTGCCACAACGGATGGAATAAAATATGTTCTAACCATATGGTATCTCTCAGCAGTGATTTAAAAAGTAAAGAGAAAGGACAGTAATACATGTAGTTTAGATCATTCTTTACTACCAAAAGGGTTTTATGCGGTTTATGGAACTGGTTTTGCAAAATTATAGCATCGGAAATATCATAGATAATAAGTGAAGCCAATTGAGAGAAGTACGCCCTCCGGTATACTGCATAGTAGGCTATGCTAAAAGTCAAAATACAGCAAGCAGGGTGTTGTTAATACCGTTATATCAGGACCATAGGTTGCGGAAGGGGAGGCAACCACATCTACCTACCACCAATTTCTGAAAAAATCGCACCACTGGTCCCCTCTTGAAATTAGAATTTTGACTACATGCAGCTGAATCATACATGTAGTTCTAAATCGTGCAAAATGGCACCGTTAGTCCTCTAAAATACCAAAATTTTCGGGGCCCTTCACGCCCGGGGAGGGGGCAACTTCGCCCCCCCTTTCAAATAATCCTGGATCCACCCCTGCTACCCCCATCACTAACGATTTTTTTTTTTTTTTTAATTGGGGATATTTCAAAAATGTTGACTCTTGCAGCGACCGCCATGGTGGAATGAAGATTTAGAAAATTTAAAGAAACTTCAAAGCTTTTAATGATTTCCGACCAGCATTATCGTAAATATAAAGATGCAAAATCCTTTTTTGGGCTAGAATGCAAAAAAACTAAAGGAAGTCACAGGGAAAGTGTTAATTGCAAAGTAGAGGGTTTGAAATCTAACACAAACGTGTAAGTTTTTGGAAGGCCAATGTCAAAAATTATAGGATGGAAAGTAATATTGATTCTGATACTTGGGTTGAACGTTTTGATCGTTTTTTGAATCGGAAAGTCGTTATAGATAAAAATCAAAACAAAGTACTAGTAGTAGAGGCAGATGTGAATAGACATGAACAAAATTGAACTTTGCAATATTGATAATTCAGGGTTTTAATGCCCTATTAACTGGTGATGAAATAGTTAAATATAACAATTTTACGGCCAGAAATATATTTTAAAAAGTTCATTTTAAAGCATTTTTCAGCTGATCGAGCGATTAAATAATGGATTCGTTCGCGTCAGTTGTAAGAAGCTGGTAGTAGCAATCTGAATGCGTTACAATGAATGTACAGAGCGGTTGTCTCGCTTGTTATGTGTCTTTTAAAGGAAAAAACAAAGTCTCTATTGGGAAGCTTCTATGAACATCTTTCAGGTATTCATTCCAAAACATCAAATCACGAAGTCAGAGGAAAAACTGGAAAACTCCTCTTTATATAGAACGGTAAAAATGCAATTAAAGACATTAATTGTCCTAAAATATTGAAAGACAGTAATTTTCTTAAATACGCATATTTAGATTGAACTTTAAAATATTAGAAATTGCTTTCATACTTTCAACTCAAAGCCTATATAACCTGAAATCATGAAGATCTAATTTCAAAATGAATTTGGAGATTTATGGTTTTATCGTATAAAAGTTAGCACTTTCCAGGAACGCATTAGCAGCTGCTTTAAACAAAGCAGACATAGTGAACTTGAGGAGACGTTTGAGTTAAGAATCTTTAATTAATTAAAATGTATTCAAAAGGGTGGGTGATGAAAAATATAATGGGTGAAGAAAAAAAAACTTTGTCGTTTTGCTTTCGCGCATATAACCTTCATCTTAATTTGATTCAAGTTGATACACAAACGTGTCTTCACTGGTGTCACAATGAAATCTAGTCAAACAAGCTCCTCACGCCGCTTATATCCTAGGATCGAGACACCTTACATGTATGTACTGCTGCATGGAAATAAAAATGTTAGATATATATGTTCAAACCTTAGTCACCACAACTCTAGTGTTAAATATTCACAGTGCTAGAGCAATAGGCGACAGCATGTTTTAATTGGGATGCGTTAATAATAATAGCCCCATTCATTTGGGATGAAGGTCTATAGACAAAACAAAATGTCTTGTTTGTACACGTACAATAAGCTGAGGGTAACGTTTTGAATTGCGTAAAGCCGCATCGTGTCTTCTCTAACACATTCCCATGATATTATTATATAAAATCAGGTGAGCATTTTGGTGAGAGGTATTCAGATAGGACCAAGGTCAAGAGGAAGAGGAGGAAGCCTCATATGCCACATCGCCATAATATCCACACGCAGACCGAAATTTTGGTACTGAGAACTGATGTAGTTTGTTGTAAGTACTGTATAGATGATATAAGCAAGGAGTTATAACAATCTGTTATAACTCCTTGATATAAGGCAACATTGATCGCTTTATGTTGACGATATTTTATCAGAAGTATGCATTTCCCAGTGTAATGGCTCTTGGGTATATTCAGCTTGAAAACTTAAATGATTAATTATGTTACTTTTCTAGGAGGAAAGCATTTGCTCATAAAGGATTTGCTCATAAGATTATTCCAATCGTCCAAAGTCCTGAACGCGTTATTCCGTCGTAAGCAAAGCAAGATAACAAAGCAGGTAATTACTGGTACATTTACAGCCCCTTATGGGAACCTTTTTCATCTTACGACAGCGGCTTGTACAAATATATCCTGTTTATTAAAGTCAACTGACAATAAACGAATGGTTTTCTAGAGAACTAGCCGCGACCAGGAAAGAAAACGTATATTTGTTTGGTAATGTCTACCTCCCTTGACTTTAATTTTCATGATTTCATTGACATTCCATCCTTGATATTATAATCTGAAATAAAATACTTACATAAAGTAGGCCTACTTCATTTTAAAAAGCTGAACTAAAAATGCTAGCGTTTGGATAACGGAATTATTTAAGTGGGTAAATTGGAATAAAATAATTGGTAGAATCTTTCTTTTTCTGTCTATAAAAGTGCAGTGGCTTAAATAACCTAACTCTGTCACGTTACACCGGATTTTTGTTTTATGGTAAAATGATCTATGAGGGCAAATATGCAATCTCCATCAAAGTACTTCTCGTGGAAAGGTATGGCTTGGCAAAGATAGATCAATTTAAAGATTAGTATGTTTACGTGAAACGGTGTGTACAGGGCTTACAGTAGTACTGGTGTCGTTGTTAAGTGTGTCATTGTATAGCACGTGTAGGTTCAATATACCGAGTACAAGAATATATATCTATTCTTATAATGTGATTTTTATATCTCCTAATGCATTGTTTCTAGTATGTGGATTTTGTTTAATTTATTCCATTTTTCATTTACTTTCAGTGCCTCTTAACTACCGTTTATAAGGAGATTGGACGCACTCCCAGCAAACACATCAGATTCGTGTTCGCCAGCGCCAGCACCCATGTCAACGTTGTCTTGCGTGCCGAAGTTTGTCCTACAGTCAACTTGAAGGGTTGATAGTTGGTTTGATTTGAAATGTAAAGTTTGCTTGAATTTGTAATATTCAGCATCAATACGTGTATGAAATAAAATGCAGCGTGTAACTAGTGTTTTGTTCATGAAACTTCATAAAATGGGCTAAATCCAAGCGTCAATCCCGCAAGTCGCTGGTTTATCATTATACATGTGTTAACAAGTTGTTGTACAGCACACTGTCCGCACATGATGTTTTTATTGTAATTTATATTTTTGTTTATACCCACCAGTTCGCGTACCTGAAACGACACCTTTGTCTTGCTTTGCCTTTGCCTTGCTTAAGTGATGAATGAAAATGAATGAAATTGTTTTAAAATTATCACTAAGAGATGTCCGGGTAGAGCACTGGTACGACCAGTTAAATGTTTGACTGTAAAATTATATGGGTGGGCAAATATGTAATAAGACGCTTCGTTATGCACTTGAAAATGCATCATTATTTATGTTAAATTGGATACAAATATGTATTTTAATGAAGTTAACATTAGAAAAGAAAAATGCCTTGCGACTCCATTACGTAAAATGCTTACAGGAATCTTTTATTGTGGGTTCATTGGAAGAAATGAACGTGGTGTAAGGTTACGATAAACTGTAGCGCTATAAATAATCCAAATTATGACACTTAAGAATAAACGGTAGTATGAATTTGTAAAATGTGCTCAAGTTATTGCAGAACTGCCCACACGTATTGAAACGGGTCTTTCTAAAATTGCGAATGTGAATATGCGGTTATGACGGATGGTAAGAATAAACTTCCTCTGGTTCCCGTTATTATGATTGATGTACTAGTACGGGTGTGTCTGATCAGTGACACACCCATAGTTTTATTGCTGGGAGGGTTTTTTCGAAATTAATATGTTTTTGTTATTTAAGAAGGAAAAATTGACTTTTTGCCTTCATTAAAAAGCGGAAGTGTTAAATATTCACAAAGAGAAACAGTGAATTGTAAAAAATGTTCCCTTTTGACATTTTTGTCAATTAAAATGTATATGTAGGACTGGCATTTATCGCATCCTTTTACATGTTGAAATATTTTTATCAAATTCGTATCGATGACTACAGTTATTTCAAAGTTCTGTTTTGGGTGTTACGGGTATTTCCTACTGTAGTAACTGAACGAACTTTTATAGACCGCCAACTTTTGTTAATTCTCTAAAAAAACAAGAAATTAGATATTTATTGAAATAATACGAAAAGGAATATTTTCTAAAATCTACATAAATACAGGTACCTATTGTTATATTTGGTACACTGTAGTTAAGTGTATGGTTTGGTCAGTTAATTGCCCATTTACTAACTTATCGTCTAAAAATCCGTTTTGTTTTTTTGATATTTTGTCTAATCAAATATGAAAAATCAAAATTTTATCAGAAAGATGACACTTTGATTGGTTACACTAACCTTTTTTCCAAAAATTGGAAGGTCATTGTTTCATTAATGTTGTTCTTGTGCGTAATTCTATTTTTCGGTCGTGATTGAAAACAAAAGGCCGGATAAGATGCCAGTCTTGCACGTGCTGTTGGGTTTGCTGAGTGTTTCTTGGTCACCGGAGACTATTGAGTTTATTAACATTTTTTGAGTAAATGAGCTCAGTTATTTTAAGTAAACTGTTTTCTTGCATAACGTTTTCAATTTTGTTTACAGATTATTCTTAAAATGGCTGTGACTGATAAGGTTGTTGTAAACTGACCATGTCTTCATGCTGTTCTTGATTCACACGACGCGTAAATTTAAGTGTTCACTCAAACTTTTGCTTCCAAAATGCTATTTTGAGATTTAAAGAGAAGCAAAAATGACGCAAAATATGAGGTACATATTCATTTATCTATGAAAAAAGCACTCATCAAATTTACAGAATTGAATGTTTGACTGCTGTTTGGTGTTGTGTGCGATCATCAGGATGGTGGCATACAGGGTAGAGTAAGTTGTTGGGTCATGAATGTGTACCCGTGTGCGGGGGTAACGCTTACATGAGATCATGTGCATTTTGAATTTTCAAAATCGTTACAACCTTTGAATTTTGATAAAAATGCCCATCGGTGAAATTTTGGATCAGTCAAGAGACAAATACACCAATGTCAACTTTGAACGATAGCTGTAAAACATATCACGTCAAATCTGTCTCGAAAGTTGGTTTTATGTAGAGCCAAAATATAATGTTCGTTTTTGCATGTACATCTGTAAGGTGTAATTGCTTGTATTTGTTATAATAAACGTACATATATAAGTTGCAATAGATGTAGTTTCAAAATGTGCAAATTGCTACCTGCTTATCGTTTTCTTCTTCAGCTCGACACGAACCTTTGGTTATCAGTTTGTTGGTCAGCCTTTTTTTTCTGCTTCTTGGCCTGTCGTCTTACCTATTCAGCCACTGGCTCAGCTGGCTTTACCGAGTAATTCGCATGATCCTCTTGTAGTAGTGTAAATTGTTTATTTGGGTTTATTTTTGCAAAAGGTAATTTGCTGGGACCTAGGAGCGCCAGGTATCGAAAACTGGCAACCTTCTGTCTCCTGGGCAAGTGCATTACCTACTCCTCTAAGTGTTCCAACCCACCCTCCTCGGGTAAACTTTCTTCTTATAGTAATCAAAGGAAATTTTTATAGCACCCCTTTGTAATTCCAAAGTGCCTGAGCCAGGAATCGAACCCCAACCCCAGGTTACCACTGAGCCTTGTAGCCTTCAGTAAAAACACTAAGACATTTTGTATATTCAATAAGTTTTTATTAAGAGCAAGTAATATTGTTATAATGTATCTATATATTCATTAAACATATACTTATAAAACTTCTTTGTCTTCAATCTTCTTATTACCATAAGGTTGAAGGGTTCAAGGATGTAAAAGAAAATTATTGATCTCCGCATAAAGCCTTATTCAAAGGTGTAACAAACGTAATATTCTTGTCTATTCGACTTGACAAAGAAACTATCTACTACTCTACTGGTATAATGTATGGTCTAAATGAAAAGAAGAACAAAATTTTCAACTTCTTCATTAAAAAAAAAACAATGGTGGATCTTACCTCCAAACCCCCTTCCCCTGAGGAAAGTGACCCATTTTGGATTCACATGATCAGGTCCCCAAAATACTCCAGCTTGCCCTAAATTTCAACATTTGACCTCTTAAAAATTCTGGATCAGTCAGTGTTTTCCTATATATAGCAATAAATAATTATGCAATTTTTATTAATTGCTCTTTTGAAACTTTGCCGCTTTTGAAAGTCCGATACGTAAAGCTGGTAAGTAAAAGCGTACATACTTCTATTGTTTGGCAAAAACGTACAACACCCAAAAGCAACACAGAGGTGCATTTAACATGTGTCAAATGTCAAAAAATAAAATTGAATAAATTAGAAGTTGTTTTCAATTCTTTAAAAATACTTGTTTATAGAACAAAATTCACAGCTGTCTCAATTTTAATTGAAGTTTTCCATGACTTTACATTAGATAAGGGGCCTTAAATTGTAACGTATGTTCCGGTTAACGTATGTTCTGGGCCATTTAATTCTAATTTTCATATCGCGTTCCGATATATTTTGTAGTGATTCAGTCATGATGAATTATAGATGACGTAAGAATGTTTTAATAAATATTCAAACTGTAACTCAAGGGGCCTTGCGTCACGGCTAATACTATGTAACGTACGTTCCCCAGAAAAATTGATAGATAGTGTCACCTTACCCAAGTACTTGGTGCAATAGGTGCAATAAGTGCTTGGTGCATTTGTGACAGTAATGTATATTCCTTTTTGGGGTTAGACGATGATTTTTTATTATTATCCGTGGTTCCAGGAAAGTGACACTTTAATACAAACTTCTTCATGTGGGACCCTAAAATAATCAAACATTATTTGCAATCTATGCACTAAATATTTTAGGAGCATGTCTGTGACCTTATTTGCACCTCAGTATTGGGTTTGGGTGACAAACGTTTACATCGTTTAGCCCGCTATTGACAAAACAGAATCAATAATAATCATTGCACTGGATAATGAAATAGAAGAAATTCCATTACAAAATTTATTAAAAATATAAACAACATGACGCTTATGAAAGCTTGACTAAAACCCAGGGACAGATCACGATATTTCTAATATTTCCTGCGTCCGTTTTCAATTCGAAAAATCTTGTAACAAATGTTTTGCAACCTTCTGAACATAAATTGTTCTAAATACTAGAAAATATCCATGATCTGGTCGATATAATAAAAAATGCTGGAAAGAGAGAATTGCCGAATACAGTCATATTGGGAAAAAACTACAACTTTCAATCACACGAATAGTCCCTTCATCTTTACCTAGAACCTGTATTTGTTCAGCAAATTAACGTGCTTCAAAATACTTTTCAAAAACAAATGACAACAAACTAATCACCAAATGCCTAATACTGATTAGTTGATACGTTATATTGATTCAGTCGAAATTACGGTATTCGTATACTTAATATCTGGGCCGTCTTCTCTCCACTTCCGGATTGCACAGCACCGAGGAAGTGGCGTCTTCTTCCAGGCTGTACATCCCGTTACATTAATTGTAGGGGGAGGTGGCAGGGTGAAGTGACCGCCTTTCTTATATATATTCAACTTTTATATAACTTCATTTGTAATACACAACATTAGAAACACAAAGGAAGAATTTGTGTTTAGCATATTTCAAAATTTGCCACAAAAAAATTAATCTCAGATCCTAATCCACCCCAAATTGAAACGACATTATGTAGGTCGTCGGATATCTTGATATGACGCAATGTGGGCCTCTGATTTTAATATCTGAGCAGTTTTTTTGTCGTGTTTGACCAACTAGACCGTACGATAGCGCCATCTGGAGGAAAATACAAAAATACTGCAATCGGAAACTTGGCAGCTGGTTTCAGATTTACAATTTTAGTGACATGGGATGTACAGCGGATTACAGTGATTGAATGTTTTAATTGCACAATGAAATTAAATTAGATGGTTACAATACACATCTTCATATTCTCTCATGAATACATGCGTGTGTACGTGCGTGAGCGCGTTCTCTGTTGTAATTTTCGATTTACACCATACGGTGGGGATTTGTTATTAATAACGTAATAAGAGATTAACATAAAAGCTACATGTTATCTACAGAATAACCCAGGTAAACGTCTGTGAATATCTAGTGCAAACATCTCTCTGTGACCCTGGTAGAGAGTACAACA